GGAGGGTGAGATGGGCAGGGTATGTAGCACGCACGGTGGAAGAGACTGCACATACAAATTCAATGGGAGAAAGAAGGAAAGAGGTCACTAGACCTAGACATAGATGGAAAGATAATATTCAAACATTCTTAAGAAATAGTTGTGGGATGGACTGGATTGATGTGGTTGAGGACAGGGACCGGTGAGCCGATGTAGGCCCGCTCTGCTGTAATGGCTTTAACTGCCGTCATGGACCCATTGTGCTGCTGGAGCGGTTCTTACTCGAATAAGCGTAATCACAAGATAAACACACATCTGGTGTTAGGGATCCAGTAGCTGCTGCAGTCCTGCGTTTCATTGTTTCAGCACAGTCTGTTTGTTCGTCTCCATAAATTGCGTTTATATGAACAAAAAAGATGAGAGTTCAAGAGGCGTTAGATCGGGGATCTGCTCCATACATCAAACTTTGACTTGGAGCATCTTGAACAAATTTGCCAGAAGAGAGCGTTAAATCATATTTGAGTTGCGGAAAAACGTTTTCGAGCATATAACGGTGCCGTCCTCAAACGAAAAGAAGGCGAAGCAATTACGAAGGCTCGATCACATATACTGTTCTGGTTGAAAACTTCGTTATGATTGTCGGATTATTGTATCACAGGACCGGTCGCTGTCTGTTGGTGAATTCACCGTTAACTCTTTGAAGTCTGAAATTCATATAAGTAATGGACCGCCTCTGTGGTCTAGTGGCCAGAGTTCCTGCCTACAGATCCCGAGGTCCCGGGTTCGATTCCCGGCGCTACAAGTTTTTCTGAGAAGTGGTGTCCACTCAGCCTCGTGAGGATAATTGAGGAGCTATTTCAAGGAAATAGTGGCTCCGGTCTAGAAAACCGAAATTAACGGCCGTGGGGATTCGTTGCAGTGACCACGCGACATCCTCTATCCGCTGAAGTTGGCACTTCACCGACAAGCGGCGATCGCTCGGTCGGTATAGTTCGCTTGCGGACTACAGGCCACGGAGTTTTTTTTAATGTTAAGAAGTACAGTTCCTGCCTGGCAGAAAAAAAACACTGCGTATTCAGCGCAACATACGAAACATTTAAATACACTCTTTGGGCAAACTGCAGAGCTTTTGAAAATTAAGGCAGGGGGTACATATGGTGACAAATGAAAGAAGAATTTCAACACAGAGGCCGCTGAGTTATGTTGTAATTCAGTGTGTTTGACAGTTTTCCTCAAAGAGCAATTTAAAAATCTGCAATATTATAGTTGTTGAGTAGCGGAAGTGCGTCTTTTTTCCTCCCCATTCCAGCAACCTGTTACGTAATAGAGGTGTAACGATATACGATGCGTTTTTTTAGTTCTGAATGCAGAACGCGAGAATAAATCCGAAGGCCTTTTCCGTTTATAACCCGTGTCTAGTCGCTGTGGCCTTCCCGCTGTCCGTAATTGTAGGATATAAAGGCGAATTGTGTATTTTACACGTCACCGTGCAGCCGGATGCACTTTTGAAGAATATATTGCTCGCGATGACTCTACGTTGCATCATTTTAAACAGAAGCAGATGATTCATACAGAATGTGTACAAATGTGTAGTTTACAAGTCGCTTCAAGTTAAAAGTATTAATTAAAGAAATCGATATATTGCGCAACAGTGACATCCTTTGTTCTCTAAAGATATATGGCAGTGGTCGAGTCGTTATACCAGTATTATGTTGGTCAGTGACCAAGTAAAGTTGTCCCTGGGCTCAATTAATTAAGCACTATGCCATAAAGACGTGGATGGGGGGCGAAGTGGAGGTGTAGCTCCACCATTCTTCTCCTCGGCACTAGTTGGAGGTGAGTGGTCAGCTTCACTCCCCTACCGCTTTACCCGCGGGTAAACAGTCCACGGCAGCCATTGGACAAGAGGCGGGTTGTACGCCAGATCCGGTCTGGATTGTGGAGAAGGGAAAGGTCTCCTGCCCCTGCCGGGAATCGAATCCCAGCCGCTCAGCCAGTAGACCGTCGCTGTACCGACTGACATGTCCCTGCTCACGCCCGTTCTCTGGGGTTTGTATGATACAGACGATGTTTCGGCGCTTAGCTCTACCGTCTTCCCCACATGATTAGTTGTTACTGTTTTGTTTAACTTGTCCACCAGTTCAACCATTTGTAACAGCACGCTAGCCTGTACTCGAAAAATCTCGGGTTCGACCCCAGCTATTGCCACTACTTTTAAAATAAGAAGTCGGTGACGAGGTGTTTCACATACTTTCTCATTTACGCGTATAGGTTGCTATAAGGCGTACTGTTGTTTTCTTGAAGATGCCACATATGCAGTTATATTTAGGGAAATGATCTCAGTAAATTGCTGAAATTTTTGTTCCAAATTGTTAAATCCGATTTAATATTTAGTGACCCTTATTTTTGGAGCTAGAATGTAAATATTCAATGAGCATCGACCTTTTATCGATAAACTGTAATGTAGAATACGAGTAGGAATAAAATCCCTCCAAACCATTTAGGTGCTAACGAGGCGTACATACATACTGACAGACGGCTTTCCAAAAACCACGTTTTGGTATTTGGTGTGTCTGAAAACGTGTAAATCCTTCAAAATTTCGAGATCCCCCCCCCCCCGATCAGCCCAGCAGAGTATGGTTATACCAGAGAACGGAAGAAGACTTCAGTCCCTGAAACATCGTTTCATATAAAAATTAGGACGATGGGCGGTGTCTAGGAAAATTAATCATTGTACGATGTACTACACGTAGTACTGTCGGGACGAACCTCTAAATCTTTTTCATACTAGAATTAATTAATATGACTCTTGCCCCTTGATGTTACTCAAGAGCTGTTTTCATGTCGAATCCGAGGTTCTCACAGATGGAACTTTGCAACAGCTCTTTCTTTCTTTGGATCGCATGTCATTTGTAATCTGCATGCAGCAGTGACATTTGCAGCACAACAAGAATATGCTTTAAAGGCTATATTTTATCGAAGTTAGACGTGGGAGAGTAAGTACTAGGTCACAAATTGAAATAACACAATTGTAATTCAAGTAACAGATTTTCTGTAGGTATCACTCGATAGCAGCACAGTCTAGCTTCGTGACAGTCTATAGGTAGCAGACGCACATGCGCATGTTCAGACGCAGGTTTTAGTAGTTGAAATGGCGACTGTGCTTGAGGGATGTACTACCGAAGATCAGTGTTCTCTTGTGTGTTTTATGTGAGCTAAAGGATTCAATGGAAAGTTTATTCATAAAGATATGTTTCCTGTTTATGAAGGAAAGTGTTTGTCGTATACAGCGGTTCACAACTGGATCGAGAAATTCCATAAAGGACGTTCAAAAGTCGATGCCTTACCAGGTCGTCCTGTTGAGATTGCGACAGAAGCAGCTGTGCAGCGGGTGGAAGAGTTGATTTGAGCTGACAGTAGGATAAAGATAGACAGTGTAGCAACTGTATTAGCGTGTTGCCATGGTTTAGCATACGGTATAATGCTTGATTGTTTGAAGTTCTGGAAAGTGTGCGCATGGTGGGTGTCCAGAGAACTGAAGGATCAAGAAAATTGAGAAAATGAACAGAATGGTTCTGTCCTTGCAGCATCTCTTACGGTATGCAAATGAAGGAGAAGATATGCCTAACAGGATTGTTACTGGAGATGAATCACGGTTTCATTACTACCAACCCGACTCAAAGCATGCTTCAGTGCAGTGGTGGCAAACGTTTGTTGATGACGAAGAGGTTGAAACGGACGTGTGGAGTGGCTGAGACAACAGTCAAAAAACTTCTGTGCTGTAGTTTCTGACTTGCTGGTAAAGTGATGGGACCAGCATGTCGATGTTGGTGGAGGATATATCGAGAAATAAATATTTCTTCAAGGTTCATCTATCATGTTTTATGTTTTATATCCATTTGAGTCCTATTTACTGACTCCCTCAAAAATAAAATGTCAGTGTATGCCTCATAGGAAACATTACAAAGGCCACATGGTTAATGATGTTTAGCGAAATGGCCCCTGCTAGTGAAAATCTTACAAAACATAAATATGTTTTGCAGGAAAATGCAGCGTCCTTGTTATGTTAAAGCATGTGGCACATATAGTAACAACTGAGCTCTAAAGAGTGTATTAAACACATGCACGTGCCCACACACGCACACAGATTTCTGTCTCATGAAATTGTTGTGTTATTCACGTCAGTGAGTTCCATATTTGTTCCTACTGTTCCCCTATCTCCAAGTACTCTTCCCTATTTTGACTGTTTTAATACTTGTGAGCTTTAAATAGGAGTATAGACTTGGATTAGGTTCTCCTTTTTGTTTATTAAGTTTCAGAGGGGCTTTGCTTTACACTTTCTGAATCCAGTTGTAATGTTCAATACTGAAGAAATGTAAAATACAGGTTTAAAGAAGCATTCTTCATGACATCTCACAACAGAAAGACATGTCCTGGCAAATCCACCTAATGGCAGAATTAGTAATACCTGCAACAGCACTTGCAGAGCAGCTGTTGACACGCTTTGTTACCATGATCTCACTCAGTATAATTAGGATTTTGTTGTAAATAAGAAAAAGTAAAGCTATCCCTGTACCAGGCCGTGAAGGCCCATAGGGTTGTGAGACGTTGAGGGTCCCACACTATCTAGACAGTTTGCTCAAAGATGGCGGTAAGGTTGTCAGCGCCGGCCATGCTTTACTCCCCAGGAAAATTATTTAATTAATTCCTGGTACTCATTTCTGTTAGAGGCTGAGTAAACCCCAGGGCCTAGTACGGCTGGAAGGATTAGGTCAACTGAAAAAATCCAATGATTTGAACCTGCAACCTTCTGACTTGTAGCATAGTCCCTCAACCAACTACGCTATCTTGTGCCCCCTTGGATTTTGATGTATTGAGAAATATTAATCGGAAACTGAACCAAAGGCCGTAACCATTTTAGTACTGATACCTTGGACCTGTGTTTAAAAGAACAGTGCACAAAGTTGTATTTCATCACAGATATTCCTGATGATACTGATAATTGTATTATATTGTTACAGATATATCAACACTTGCGATGGTACACAAACCCTGCAGAGCAGCGCTGGATAGTTCGTATTCTGTTTATCGTACCAATATACGCTTTCTATTCATGGGTCAGCCTCCTCTTCTTCAACAGCGAGAGTTACTATGTCTATTTCTTCACTGTAAGAGACTGCTATGAAGGTAATAAGACAAGTGATCATTCAGTAAGTATAATATTACTGTGAGGAACTGTAGTACTGGGTTACTGTAAAAGAAATAGACACTTTCAACTGTTTATAGAAACCAAAGTATTATTGATATAGCCAAAATACTTATATGGTTTTTAGTATATGTCTTAAAGTTTTCATGACTAAGTTACAAATGTTCTATGTGTGAGCCTTTTGTCACATGACAGATATCAATACGACAATCCAATTCATTCCAATGACACTGGAGCATGTCCTCGTCAGCACTTGCAGCAGCTGTCATGATGCATTGCCTTAGATTGTTTACACCTACAGGAAGTGGAGGAACAAAAACTCTTGTCTTTGATACTTGTAGTTAACACAATGGAATGCAACCATTACAGTTTATAAAGAGATGGAGGATGTTTGAGAACAGGGTGCTGAGGAGAAAATTTGGACTTACTAGAGAAGGAGGGATGGGCTGGAGGAAGTTGCATAATGAGGGACTTCATAATGTCTACTCTTCAGCAGACATTATTATAATGTTCAGATCAGTGGACTGTTCATGTGGCATGCATGGGAAGATCTGAAGTGCATTCAAGATTTGAGGAGAGAGATCTTGGAAGACTGAGGCATAGATGGTAGAATAATATTAAATTTGGTGTCTTAAATAAAAGGGTGGGTGAGTGGGTGGGTGAAAGCTGGATTGTTAAGATGCAGAATAGGGACCAGTGGTGAGTTCCTGTTAACATGATACTGAACATTCATATTTCATAAAATACAGGGAATTTCTTTTCTAAGCTGAGTGACTGTCAGCTTTTCAAGAAGGGTACTACTGTGTGGAGTTAGTTCTTTCACAGGGTTAGAGGTTCATAATATTTGTAAGGTGACTTTAATTTCCTTCTTCTGTTTGTAAAAAATTGTTCTTTGTTTCAGCTTTTGTAATCTACAATTTCTTGAGTCTTTGCTATGAGTACCTGGGAGGAGAAGGGAACATTATGAGTGAAATACGAGGAAAACCAATCAGGTTTGTGACTGTTATAGTGAATATCTATAGAAAGCATTTACAATGAAGACAGTTTGAGCTGTCTCTTTGTGTTCTTACACTACACTGATAACAGTACAGAAACAGCATAGGAAGGTCAAGATAATGACAGTCAACAGAACTGCTTTCTGTGGTGCTCTACTACCTGTGTCTCTTCTTATCCTCTTATGCAGATACATATAATTTTATGCATGGGGTGTGCATGGCTCTCATATGCATATACTGTGTTACATGTGATGCCAGACATAAAAATTTAAAGTTGTCCGAATTTAAAGTGTTAGACCAATACATATGTGTTAATCAGTTTAAAAGACTTCTTACATTGAGAAGTACACTTTGAATTACTGGGTGTCTGGATTTTGTTCATTGACTGTAGAGAGCACAACATTTTGGAGACAGGATATGTTTCCACCCTCAGGTGAAAAGGTAGGGAGGCAGCTATTCATTTGAGTCCATTAGGAAGAACTGGTCTCAGTCAGTGGATCCCTGGATGCTCAATGACTGGTACTGCTTCTTCCTCTTCTGTAAGTGAAAAAAAAATATGAAGGACTTAGTGAGTTGCATGTGTTAGAGAGAGCCAGTTGCATTTGCTGGATGATTAGATATCCAATGATAGAAATCAGCTCTTTGTAACAGATGAATGGAAGCAAACCCATTTTCTGAAACGCTGTGTTCTATTCAGAATGCAAGGCAATGGACAAAGTCTGAAAACCAGTAATGGTAACATGTTTTTTCTGAATGGAACTGCAGTAACAGTGGTGAATGTCTGTGCCTGGACCTCTAAGCAGGTCAAACCCACATGGTCCACCACAGCACCTGAAACATCAACAGTTTTGTATTGTGTTTTGTGTTCTGAATGGTACTTTTATTTGAGGGTCTTTGAATAACTTTGTGATTGTTCTTGTTAGTTTTCCGCTGTATGTGAAAATGACCCCTTTTTTGTTTTCTGATTATGTGGGTTGATGTCAGTATTTTGTATTTGTGGGCTTGGATGTTTTATGGTTTTGTTTATATTATAATTATTGCTATGTAGTGTGTTTTTGTAAAGTTTAGTTCTTTTCCTTCTTTAGATAGTGGGTATGTGTTTAATCAGTTTTCTAAGTAACTGATACTCTATGTTCATGTGGGCGGCAGGGGTCATTGGGTATTATGATATTATGTCTTTGTTTTGCTGATCAGTGACCACAGGGTCTGTTGTCTTCCAAGTGCTTGAACACTGACACTGGGTTTGAATTACACTCAGGGTGTCGATGATTGTATGCTTTGTTTCTGTGCTTGAGTTCATCACAGCTAGAAGCCTTGCAATGTGGCAGTTCCACATTCAAGAAGATGTATCAAGTGTGTAACAGATTTAGAGATTCTGAATTGGAACAGGCCAAGAGTCTAATCCATGAAATCTCATTAAGTAATATGTTATTTGATAATGATCATCAAATTCTGAAATACAAAATACACCTAATTGTGGTACACTCCACTCTTTGTTGGCTTACTTATTTATTTGCTAATACCACATTTCTCCTCTGAAGTGAATATAACCCTCAGTGATGTGTAGCACTTTGATGGTTAGTGTAGTATGTGTGAAGCAGTGTCTTACATGGTTTCACATTGTCAAAATTCACAAGTTATCACGAGGGATCACTATAAATCCATCTAAGACCCTACTTGATTTGAGGAATGTACTGCACACAAAAACTTGTGCTGTGTTACACCCACTGCATTCCATACATGCACTTTTAATATAATAAATGCCACTTCTCGCATATTCAATTTCCATAAGATTATATTTGCTGGGAATCACTATAAAAATTTTGGCCAGATGCGAAGAAATATTTTTGACTTGTTCAAGAACTCATTGCTGTAATGAAATAATTGTATGGAAGCACAACTTGTACCAGATGTAAAAAATTCTTTGAGAAGCTAGTATCTGTATTAGTATTTTTGGGCACCTTGCTGTAGGTGTCACCTTTGATTAACATGCAAGATCCATTTTATCATGTTGTCTTACTGTTTGTCTTGAACACCCTTAGTTTAGACATGAGGTGACGATGAAAGAAGTGAATTTAAAAAAGACCAAATTTATGTCCAGAACCATATGAATCACAACGAAGTGAATTTGCCTGAACTCTAAAATCTGACTCCTGAATGTTGAGTGAGAAATTGGCTGACATCCAATATTTTCTGTTTCCACTTTGACCAGGCTACCGTATTCCTTGACCCCTGGATTATGTGGCAGAAGACATCTGAAATTTCTGGAACTTTTCAAAAATGAATGAAGAAGAAACTTTAGCTGAATTTATTACTTTTAGTAGTTTTCTGATTTAATAAAACAATTTCTATTTGGGAGTGCAATCACATAGGAGGGTTGGAACTTTAATAGTGGCAACTATTTATTTACAACTGATACAAAATAGATGCATGTTTCAAAGTTTTACTGTCCTTCAGTGTAGTCACCAGCATTGTGTACAACCCGTTGCCAGCGATATGGAAGTCGTAGGATACCTTTAGCAGCGCTTGTTGTGCTGATAGTTCAAATGGAGCGGTCTACTGCCTGAAGAATCTCTGGAACAGTTCTGAAGCAAATGCCATGAAGTGGTTCCATCATCTTAGGAATCAAGTCGAAGTCACAAGGGCTTAAGTCCGGGGAGTATGGTGGATGATACAGCACTTCCAAGCCCCATCGATCAAACAAATCAGCCACAGCTTGCCATTTCTGAATTTCCGTCAAATCATGTGGAACCCCTCGTGATGCAATTTTTCTCATGCCCAGGCGTTCTTTCAGAATGTGAAGCACAGTCGTATGCGCTAATCCTGTCTCTCGGGCCAGCTCATGAATCATATGGCGGCGATCACTCTCCAGTAACGCGGAAAGAGCATACACTTCTTCTTCACTGACACTAGGATGACCTGGCTGACACATGTCTGCCACATTTTGGTGTCCCTCGTTGAAGGCTTTTACCCACCTTGCCACTGTTCTGTACGACAATGCAGATTCCCTGCAAGCCTCTTGAAGACCTTTATGCTGTATGGCCTCTGACACATTCAATCTTTATCCAACTCCGTTGTTCCTGTTTCGAAAACATGGTGACAACACTACATTAGACCGCCAGCTAACACGAGGCTCTGTTCTTCTCATCATTGCGCATGCGCGTAATGTGGGAAGGGAGAGTCCATTTGCTCTGAGGTAAAGTAGGTATGTATCTAACATGTAGTATAAGCGACATTATTTGGTTCTGTTGCATGGCGTCTCTACAGCAGTGTTGCCACTATTAAAGTTCCAACCCTCGTATTTTATGACAAAGGTTTGAATATATTTGTAAGCTATTTCTTGTTCCTTTCTTGCCAGATCACAAGGCACAAATCATTCTTGCTGTTCTTAGACGAAGACATCTTAAATCTGGCTGCAGATCTCACTGCAATGGATAGTATATCCACTTCTGGATGAAGCAAATCAAAACAGATTCAGTCATTTGCACATTCTCGACAGAATGTTGCAAATGTGAAGCTGTCAGCTTTTTCGCATCTGTTTGTTTGCCCACATGTAACAACTTAAGAACCACTGAAAAAATTTTCATGACATGTGATATTGAAGTTTTGTTAAAATTTCTTGACTCATTCCAATTCTAAAGTTGGACAGCAGCAACAGACTTACATGTGGACCTATGCATTTTTGCATTCATCTCAAGCCTAACTAACTGTGGGAAAAATGTTTCAAACATAATTAAAAGAGAGCAAACTCATGGGAATTATTGTTCTGTGCATACAAGTCCAAATTTCATAATGGCTATGATTTTATAATTTAACCACTTCATCTGTGAGGACTTAAAACATTATGTTAATAGGCATGAAAGTTATAATGGCTGTTAAAATGAACTCTACTGGAATTGAGCACTTACTAAGACATTGCTTTAATTTTTTAGAGAATCTGTAATAAAAACTAAATTTCTGCTCTATTATGGCTGTATTACCAGCAATAAAATTTTAGGTAGATTTGAGATTCTGTCCTTGGTGAATATAAAGATTACGGGTCCTCTGGGATATGATGCCATGTATGCGGTCTGGCAGATGGGTACCAGTGTTGCAGAGCAACCTGCTGCCTCCATCTTGTCCAAGACCAAAGCAACAGGTTCCTCAGAAATATTAGAACCTGTGTACTGAAGTATACAACATCACATCAGAAAGTCATAATATTCAGCATCTGTTTAGTTCACACTAGATATAGTCTTGCTTTTTAGCAGAGAGTGTCTGTGTGGAATTCAATCTCTGTTTTGGATTAATGTTGCATACAGAGTGAATAGTCTAATGAAGCAGGAAGATTGTAATGTAGGTTTCCATTTTGAAGTTTCTTCAGAATGTCTGAATTAATATTTCCCTTTCTCTGTGTTCCCAGATCGAACTGTATGTATGGCACATGCTGCCTAGTTGGGAAGACATACACAATTGGATTTCTGAGGTTCTGTAAGCAAGTGACTCTGCAGTTCTGCTTGGTGAAGCCTGTCATGGCCTTTGTAATCATTATCCTGCAATCATTTGGTCACTACAGGGATGGTGATTGGAGGTGAGAGATCATATTTCACAACATAAGGGATCTGTGAAAAACCAACAGTTGGGAATGAAAATTTGCACAAAATTAGTAGATAGTGGAGTTAAGAGTAGTAAACTTTGCCTACTCCAAAAATCTGTTGAACGTATAATATTCCCACATCATAACATTCATAAATTTACTTGAACATATCCTGATGGAAAGACTGACAGTCAAATTGACCATATTTTGATAGATAGGAGATGGCATTCGAGTATACTTGATGTCTGATTGTTCATGGCAGCAGATTGTGATACTGACCGCTACCTGATGGTGGTGAAAGTTGGGGAGAGACTGGCAGTGAGTAAATAAACAACACAAGAAATTAAACAAGGTAGAGGGTAAAGAACAATATTATGTTGAAATCTCAAATAGGTTTGCAGCTTTGAAAAACTTAGACACTGAGGTGGATATTAATAGAGCTTGGGAAGCTATTAGATAGAATATAAAATTTTGATCCAAAGAGTGTCTAGGTTATTATGAATTGAAGAAACATAAGCCATGGTTTGATGAAGGATGCTCAAAATTATTAGATCAAAGAAAGCAGGCCAAATTGCAATGGTTACAGGATCCACGCGAGTTAAATGGGGATAATCTGAACAATATAAGACGTGAAACCAGCAGGCGTTTCAGGAACAAAAAGAGGGAATATCTGAAAGGCAAATATAATGATCTTTCAACAAACGGTAAGAACAAGAACATTAAGAGGCCTGTATAGAGGAATTTATGAGGGGGTTCGAACCAAGAAGTAACTTAGTGATGGATGGTAATGGTGATCTGCTTGCAGATTCCCACAACATTTTGAATAGGTGAAAGAACTACTTCTCTCAGTTATTGAATGTACACAAGGTCAGTGATGTTAGGCCGATAGAAATTCATACTGCTGAGCCGTTAGTACCTGATCCTAGTCCTTTTGAGGTTGATATTGCTATTGCAAAGTTGAAAAGGTGTAAATCGCCGAGTAATGATCAAATTCCATCAGAAGTGATTCAAGCAAAAGGTAAAATATTATGATCTTGAGATCCATAAGCTAATTAATTTTATTTGGAATAAGGAAGACTTTCCTGATCAGTAATGGAATGAGTCTGTTATTGTACCAATTCCCAAGGAGGGTGATAAAACTGAGTGTAGTCATTATTGTGGGATATCACTGCCATAAAGTTCATACAAAATTTTATCTAATATACTTCTCTCAAGGTTAAGCCCATACATAGATGAAATTGCTAGGGATCATCACTGTGGGTTTTGATGTAATGGATCACCTACTGATTACATCTTTTCCATTCGTCACATAATGGAGAAAAAATGGGAGTACAATGAGATAGTACATCAGCTATTCATAAACTTCAAGACCTGTGATTCAGTTAGGAGGGAAGTATTGTGCAACATTTTCATATAGTTTGGGGTAATCATGAAGCTAGTTAGGCTGATTAAAATGTGTTTAAACAAAATGTATAGTAAAGCTCATATAGGTAAACATTTGACTGATAATTTTCTTATCTAGAATGGTCTAAAACAAGGAGATGTTTGTCACCATTGCTTTTCAACTTTGCTTTAGAATATGCCATTACGAAGGTCCAGGAAAACCAGATAAGACTGAAATTAAATAGGACACATCAGCTGATGGTGCTAATAAGGAGGTTGGTCTAGAAGTAAACACAGAGAAAACTAAGTATATGTTGCTGTCTCATCACCAGAATGCATGGCAAAATCATGACTTAAAGATAGCTAACAGATGCTTTGAAAATGTTGCACAGTAACAAATCAAAATTTGATTAAGAAGGAAATTAAGAGGAGATTGACTTCAGGTAATGCTGGCTATCATTTAATCCAGAATATTTTGTTTTCTTGTCTGCTGTCTGAAAACATAAAAATTAGAATATACAAAACTATAATTTTGCCTGTGGTTCTGTATGGGTGTGAAATTTGGTCTCTTGACATTAAGGGAGGAACACAGACTGAGGGTGTTTGAGAACAGGGTGCTGAGGAGAATATATGGACCAAAGAGGGATGAAGTGATGGGAGATTGGAGAAAACTGCATAATGAGGAGCTTCGTAACTTGTTCTTTTTGCCAAATATAATTAGAATGTTCAAGTCAAGGAGGGTGAGATGGCAAAGACATGTAGTGTGAATAGGGCAGAAGAGAAATGCATGTAGGATATTGGTGGGAAAGCCAGAAAGAAAGAGACCACTAGGAAGTCCAAGATGCTGGTGGGTTGATAATATTAAAATGGGTCTTAGATAGGATGGGGCAGTATGGATTGTCTCAGTCTTGTTCAAGATAGGGACAGTAGAGGGCTTTTGTGAACATGGTAATGAACTTTGAGGTTCCATAAATTTTTGACAGTTCTTGAGTAGCTGTACATTTGGTTGGCTTCTCAAGAAGGACACAGCTCCATGAAGTTAGTTAGTTTATGGGTCTGTAAATGTTTTGTTTGTGGTATGTGGTATAGTTTCTCTGGACTGATTTTTTCATAACATTCATTTTGAATGATATCACATTGTAGCTGGCAACTCAGATTGCCCAAATGATTGATATTAAATTAGAAAATGGATAAATGGAATGTGTAACCAAGTAACTACTTTTGGTAACCTCAGGTAATGTAAGTGGGTAAGTAAAGTAAGTACAGTGGTCTCCAGGAGGTCCAGAAAGGATTGCTCAGGTTGTCTGCAGAGTTCAGTAAGTTGGGAAACTCTCCTATGGACATTTTTAAATATTCACTTGTTTACAATAGCAAAAATAAATTTTTCCATTAAAACACAAGTTTGCCTTCCTATATGTAAGCCATTGTTTCTCCAGTGATTGAGACTAGCTCCAGATCTGATTTTTTAAACATTATGTTTGAAGGAACTCAGGACTGTGGTCTTTGTCAAAATTAATTCATGTTTATTGAAACATACTGTTATCAGAAACATATAGGCTTACCCTCATCTGTATCAGAGATGAGGCATCAGGAATGTGAAGAATAGTAGTCCCTTTCCTGTGGTTTGGAACCCACATCATTGCGTGGGCCATTCTCATTCTCATGATTGTTGCAACTAATAGAATCCTTTTTTTTTTTTTTGGTGCTTACAAGTCAGATATCAGTTCTATACCCATGTCTAGATAGAATCCACAAAGGCCAACACAGATCATATCCATCACCACTACACAAGCAGCAGTGTAAGCTAATATTTTATCTTGGCATCTGTTATAGTGCTAATTTCAACAGTGCTTGCAGTATAGTGTGGTTATATGTAGCAATAATATGGTTGTTATGTAACTGTTATTTCCTTCCAGTCCTGATGGTGGATATCTGTATGTCACCATCATCTACAATATTTCTGTGAGTCTTGCACTGTATGGGCTGTTCCTATTCTACTTTGCTACAAAAGATCTCTTGATGCCATTTGACCCAGTGTTAAAATTCTGCACAGTCAAATCTGTCATTTTCCTCTCATTCTGGCAAGGTAAGTATTAATTCATATTCAGTATTATAAATTTCAGTCTTATTAATCTTTCTTAGTAAGAATACTATGTTTCATCACTTAATTAAACACAACTCAAAAACTTTACTTCACCAGTTGTTCTGCTTATAACATCTCGGCACAGGCCACACAGAAAACACTGTTCCTTTGTTGTATCAAAATATTGCTGTGGAAACATGCTTGTTTGCAAAGCCATTACTTAGTAACACACATCACAAGACACGGTTTACACAGAAAATAAGAAAAACGACCCCCATAGTGGAAGCACCACACGCAAGTTTTAATTAAGACATATAAGATGAATAATCTTTACAAGTTTTAGTGTGTGTAAATTTATTATAGTTGACAAATGCACACTTTTTAAATAATTTTATAAAGACATATAAAAGCAAGCAATGCAATAGATTAGCATAATTAGGGCACCTGATGATGGCACTATGTTGCAGAAACATGTCGTGAAGTAACAGGTGAAATTGAGTGCACTACAAGACGGCCACTGTATACATATCATGGATGAAAATCAGTGCAACAGGACGCTAAAATACAACATTAGTAACAGCTGTTGTATATTTGCCTCTCTCATGGTCATTGCCCAGTAATGGGTCCATATTCCACAATATTTAAATGTATCCTTCTTCATACTTAATATAGGGGTGCTACTGGCAGTTCTTGAAAGAGCAGAGGTTATTGACCCTATCGTAGATAATGGACAGCGCCCAAATGCAGGAACAGTATCAGCAGGTTACCAGAACTTTCTGATCTGTATTGAGATGTTTTTTGCTGCAATTGCGCTGCGGTATGCTTTCCCTTACCAAGTATATGCCCAAGGATGCATCACAGATTCTCATGGTCGAAGTGTTACAATGCAGAGCATCTCCAGCAGTCTCAAGGTATGTACTTAGTTTGACTTCAGCCTAATGCTAGATTGGAAACAGTGTACTCCATAATGTAGTACACAAAATTACTAGTGATATTCTTTAAAGTTTATTAAGCTTATTTAAAAATGTTAATGATAAAATGCAAACTAGTGAAAGTCTCCAACATGAAATTTCAGCAAGTATGTTGAGGGGTTTGTGGGATACAAGGAATATATCATTTATGACCTTTTGCAAACTAGGCTACATTATGGATCGGTATGATTATAAATTGGAATTCCCCAACATAATTTTCTTAAAATCCTCCATATTGGATTTTCAGTCAAAGTCATTGAAACAATTGAAGGGATACATTGAAAAATCCATTTATGGCCTTATGCAAGCTGATCTTTATTATTGGATCAGTATAATCATAAATTTGAATTGCCATACAACTTTTGGCGGAACTCTTCCGTATTTATTTTCAAGTGTCTGTGAAATGGCCTGTGGCATACGTGGAAATGTCCATTTATGGTCTTATGCAAACTAGGCTTTATTGCTGATCAGTATGGCTGTGAATTGGAATTGTGCTGTGATTATTGCTGAAAGTCTTCTATATGTTTTTTCTCCAAACTCAGTGAAACTGATCATGGGATATATGGAAAGGTACCTTTATGACCTTCCAGGCTCTATTATGGTTCATTGTGGCTGAAATTCAGAACTGCTTTTGGTGGAAGTCCTGCATATTATGCTTCATGAATATCTGCAAAATGGTTTATATGGAAATGTCTGTTTATGACTTTATGTAAACCAGACTTATGAATTGATATATCTGTTTTTGAATTTTATTTCAAAATACCTTGCCGTGTGTTATGACTTCCAAGTGCTCATCAGCATGAGCACAGTAAATAAGTAACACTTGTATCTGTACTATAAATTTACTGTCTCTGTATTATTTTTTTTAAGTATCACTAAATAAGTAAGATAATGTAAGTTAATGAGAAGTCAGTTTTTGATTTAACAATTTTGTTAACAGACTCCTTGCAAGGGTTTTCTTGGATGACAGATTTTCACATAACAGGCTACTTTCAAGGAACATGTTAATATAAAATGAGTTAGTGTATTTATTCAATTATTTGTTAATCATCATGTTATGTCAACTGTTGTACATAATTTTCATGATCATGGAGAACTCAGATAATAGTCTAGAAGAAAGGGGAAACTAAAATTCTCGATTCACTTTGTTGTGTCTACATAATCATCCATATAGCCGTTTTATTTCTTACAGGAAACAATGAACCCCAAAGACATAATGACTGATGCCATTCATAACTTCCATCCTCAGTACCAACAGTATACCCAGTACAGCTCTGGTAAGTCACATGACCTGTTTGCAAACTGCTTGGCTTTCTTCAGAATGAATGGTATTGATTGATATGAATATTTACTTTACAACTTTGATATGATGGCAGTGGAATAAGTTGTTGTATAATATTGTGTTTAATGTAACTTGACACAGTTGAAACTTATTCTTGTAGAGTTTGTGTCTTAGTAACTGTTTGTTCAGAATCAAATCTTTAGTAGGCAATTTACTTTCCTTTGAAGAATGCATGCCTTTTATAAGTACTATATTTATAAAGCCCATTGATATGTTATTGAGAAATTGTAAAAAACAAACTTCATGAAAAATATGTGGTCTCAATGACTTGAAAGTTCTGGAAAGACAGCCACATATATATGAAAATACTGAACTTAATGGAGCATGCTGTAGCATAGTTGGTTGAGGCACTATGCTACAAGCCAGAAGGTCACAGGCTTGACGCCTGATCAGGTCATTGAATTTCTCAAGTGACCTAATCCTTCGAGCCACACTATGGCCCTGGCGTTGACTCAGCCTCTAAGAGAAACGAGTTCCAGGAAGCTTCCTAGGGGGTAAAAGGCTGGCTGGCGCATAGGGCTGACAACCTCACTGCCATTTCTGATGTGAGCTGATTGTCTGGAAAATGTGGGAACCTCAATGAGTCACAGCTCTGTTGGCCTCCACAGCCTATTGCACAGATAGCTTTTTTTTTAGCAGAACTTGATAAGGTAACAATATGCTGCTCTTGTTCAGATGAAATGTTTTAGTAACAGAACATTGGAGTTGTTACCTAACCCACTAACAAACAGACATGACAAAGTATATGAGTAAGTGGTTGTGTGAGTTGGTCTTCGTATAATAGACTACTTGAACACTTAAATTCTAACAACATATTAGTCAAAGAGCAATTTGGATTTAGGAAAGACCTAACAACAGAAAAAGCAACCTATGAACTAACTAACGATATTTTAAGTGCTCTCAATGACAGATTAATTTTTTTCTGGATTTTCTGTGATCTAGCAAAAGCTTTTGATTGTGTTAATCATGATATCTTACTATCGAAATTAAATTTCTATGGAATAACTGGCAAAGCTAATGAATGGATCAAATCATACCTCAAAAACAGGTATCAAAGAGTTGAAATAAATAATAAAAACTCCAGTCATAATGCATTTTCAAACTGGGGAATTATAAAGCACGGTGTTCCACAAGGATCAATTTTAGGTCCCTTACTTTTTCTTCTCTACATAAATGATCTATCTAAAACCATCAACAATAAATCTAAACCAATTCTATATGCAGATGACACTAGTATAATATTTAAGAACTCTAAATTTGACAACTTTAAAAATGACATAAATATTGTATTTGAAGCCTTAAACAGATGGTTCGAAGCCAATTTACTCTCATTAAATTTTGATAAAACCCATTACATATCATTCACAACTAAAAACAACCACCAAATTGATCTGGACATCAGTTATGCCAACAAATTAATCTGTAAAGTACTTGATACAAAATTCCTTGGAATACATGTAGACAGTACACTGTCTTGGAAAATACATATTGAACAAATTATACCTAAATTAAATGCAGCTTGCTATGCGATGAGATCAATTAAGCCTTTTATGTCACAGGAAACATTGAAGATGGTTTACCATGCCTACTTTCATTCTATTATGAACTATGGATTAATATTTTGGGGGAACTCTTCACATAGTGTAATAATTTTTAAAATACAAAAGAATATAATTAGAATCATTACAGGATGTAGAAGTAGAGATTCATGTAGAGAATTATTTAAGAAATTAAAAATTCTACCTCTTCAATCGCAATACATATTATCGCTTCTCTTATTTGTTGTTTACAACAAAGATAAATTCAAATTAAATTCTGATGTCTATAACATGAATACTAGACAAAAATATAACTTCCACCTACCCTCATCAACTTTATCAGTATATCAAAAAGGAGTCTACTTTACTGGCATAAAAGTGTTCAACAATCTGCCACAAAGTATTAAAAACTTGGGCAATGATACTAAAAAGTTTAAATCAGAGTTAAAGAATTATCTACATGCTCATTCCTTCTACTCTTTAGATGAATACTTCAATGTACATAGAGAATGATGTAAAATTAAGTTATATTAATTATTAAGCTAAAATTGCCTGTACTTATGTATGTAACCTTTTGACTTTTTCTGTATCCAAAGGTACTAACCTACTTAGGATTTGTAGAATGTAAATAAATTCAATTCAATTCACAAAATAATTACTGGTAGGCATTTTATAAATGTCAGTAATATCTTTAACTTCACCATTACCACCATACACTCCATTTTCTTTCCATGTATGAGGGTTGGAACTTTAATAGTGGCAACATTGCTGTAGAGACGCCATGCAACAGAACCAAATAATGTCACTTATACCACACGTTAGTTACATACCTACCTTACCTCAGAGCAAATGGACTCTCCCTTCCCACATCACGCGCATGCGCAGTGACGAGAAGAACAGAGCCTTGTGTTAGCTGGCGGTCTAATGTAGTGTTTTCACGATGTTTTTGAAACAGGAACAACGGAATTAGATAAAGATTGAATGTGCCAGAGGCCATACAGCACGACAGTGTCATCAAGGTCTTCAAGAGGCTTGCGGGGAATCTGCATGGCCTTACAGAACAGTGTCAAAGTGGGTAAAAGCCTTTAACGAGGGACGCCAAAATGTGGCAGACATGCATCGGCCAAGTCGTCCTAGTGTCGGTGAAGAAGAAGTGTATACTCTTTCCGTGTTACTGGAGAGTGATTGACGCCATACAATTCATGAGCTGGCCCGAGAACAGGATTAGCACATAACGACTGTGCTTCACATTCTGATGGAATGCCTGGGTATGAGAAAAATTGCATCATGATGGATTCCGCATGATTTGATGGAAATGCAGAAATGGGTACGATACGACGCTGCTCGTAACCACTTGGAGTGCTATAAGTGCAAAGGAGAGGCTTTCTTAAGCCATATCATTACACTGGATGAGACATGGGCCAAATCGTACGAGCCAAAAATGAAACACTAGTCAAACAAGTGGCATCATTATGGGTCACCATGAAAATCAAAAGTTCATCAGAACCCCAACAGTGTGAAAGTTATGGTGATTCTCATGTACGACTGTGATGGTGTTATCCAAATGCATACCGTTCCCCAACAGCAGACCGTCAATGTGCAGTATTACTGTGAAATTTTGGAACACAATCTGCGACCAGCTTTGAGAAAGAAGCAGCGACACTTGCTGCTGAACCCACCCATCATTTGCAGGACAATGCTTGGCTGCATGCAGTGCAACCTGTGGCTGATTTTTTCGATTGATGGGGCTGGGAAGTGCTGTACCATCCACCATACTCCCTGGACTTAAGCCCTCGTGACTTGACCTTGATTCCTAAGATGAAGGAACCACTTTGTGGCATTCGCTTCAAAACTGTTCCAGAGATTCTTCGGGCAGTAGACCCCTCCATTCGAACTATCAACATGACAGGCGCTGCTAAAGGTATCCTACAACTTCCACATCACTGGCAATGGGTTGTACACAATGCTGGTGACTACATTGAAGGACAGTAAAACTTCGAAACATGCATCTATTTTGTATCAGTTGTAAATAAATAGTTGCCACTATTAAATTTCCAATCCTCGTACATTTTGCACTTTCTTGTTATATTAAATATGCAGCCACACATTATTCAAATGAGGTAAAATGCAACTAATATGCAGAACCTTCAGAATAAATAATTCCCATCTTAAGCTTCAGTTTCCCAATGGATCCACTCTTATATAGACAAGTTGAACAAAGAAAAAATTACCAAACTCAGGGATATGTTTCCACACACTGAAACAATGAAAAAAGTTTATATTGACATGTGTCTGAAATGGCCACATTTTAGATCTGTGGGCCTTTTGAATTTTATAATGTTTGAAGACAACAGCTTGTGTAGAATACCGTTTGCTTCTTTCTGATTATATACAAATATACTGTCTTGTTGTACCATGCAGAGGCAGTCACCAGTTAGCATTTTACACTCTGCAAGCTGATCAGTGTAATAGATTGTGTTGTTCTGGTAAGGTAAAGTTATCCCTGTAACAGGCCATGAAGTTCCATAGGATTGTGAGAGGTCGAGGCTCCCACATTTTCTAGACAGTTGGCTCACAGATGGTGGTAAGGTTGTCAGCCTTACATGCCGACCACCCTTTACCCCCCCAGGAAGATTTGACCCCAGGGCCATAGTGAAGTTGGAAGGATCTCTGGTGGTAATGGCAAATAATTACACAAATGCAGAAATGGCAGACATGCATTTCATATATGGCAGTATAAGAGAATCATGTTGCCTTTATAAAAATGGTTCCTCAGCTACACGATCCTAGAAAGGAGTATATTCAGTAACATTCATCAGGGTGTCTGAGACAGTGAAACATTTGCATTGAACCAAACAGGCTGAGAGAGGCCACATTCAGTGACTGTTCCTGCTTTAGAGGAAAGGGTGTTGTGCTGCGCGGAAGTGGAACTACTGACTTTTGCAGATAGTCAAATTGTGACTGAAATAAGTGTATGTCATTGTATGATTTGAGGTTATCATTAATGATTATACAGAGTTCTGTCTAATGGAATATAACGTCATGTAGTCTGTTGGGAATAAACCAGTGTTTTGGAGGGACATGAGACCTCTGTCTTCAGGGTCGAATAATCACAAGAAACCAGTGTGAAAGCTCTGCTTGCTGTCTGCTTTCATGCTGGTTTATTGCTTGGATTATTCTTTGACCCTGTAGATGGAGGTGACATGTTCCTCTGAAACACTGGTTGACTTTCAGTGGACTATAGGGCATTATATTGCAGAAGATAGAACTCTTGTATCTGTCTTGTTTAATGGTGAAGTAGATGGTGGTCCTTGTGATTCCCTGTTGCCAAGTGAAGGAGACGTTTAGGCACATTTAGCAAAGTCTTCCTTGTAAGAAACCTTCACCAGAAAGATTTCATCTAGATTGGAGCGCAGTGTTATTTTATCAAGTTTAATATCTTAATATAAATCTAGTTATCTTTCCAAGACTTTTCAAGTAGGTATTTTGTTTAAGTTTTCTTAATGTTTCCCCTTGAAATTCTAATGGGCTCTACATATAGTCCAGCCTTCTCTGGGCACCATTACCAAAGAACCACAAATGCATGCTTGTAGGAGGAAGTGTAGCAGATATCTGGAATCCTGGTACTGCACCTGCAAGGTTTGAATTATAGGGATTCTTGTTGCGTTCTAATTTTACATTTATGTATGCCATAAGTACAGTAGTATTTGTGCATTGATTAGTCCAGGGTCTTTTCTGTGCATACATGCTGCTGATGCATTATGTGCATACAGTTATTGATCTTGCAAAGATGAACTGCCCAAATGGAAGTATACATTTTCCTTGTTTTGCAAAAATCCAACACCTGAAGATGCATGAAGTTTGAACTTTTGTATTTGCCACAGTGTGTTAACATCTTTTAGAAATGGAAATATCTTAAAGACATACAGAGTGAGTGCGTGTGAGTGGGTGTGGGTGGGGTGGGGGGTTGAATCCTAGCCATCAGAATTTTAATTGCTTGCACTTGTAAATGTGTATGTTAAAAGTTACTGTTATTAGATTGTTTGTTGTTTGCCATGGTTTTCCCCTTTATATTTTGTTTGTGTGCAGATATTTGTTTACTGCCTTCTTGCTTGTGCTGACTTTATAATTGGCTTTTGGGCTCTTTAGTAAGGTTGCAAGTAAATAAGGAAATGAATTATTATTGTACACTTAATATTACTGATTGTTATGTGATTTCATATGCCCAGCTCTCATAGTTTCTTAGTAATTGCCATCAGACTGTAAGTTAATGATAGATTTCAGGCAGCTACCGTACTCTTGTTTTACATTCATCAGAAAAAGACAGTTTGCCTCAACAGAAGTTGCAGATGTATCAGAGCTCTATTATATACATCTGTTCAGGATCCTAAATTAAATGGTTTGAGATTTATCCCACCTCACAACATTTTGCATCTGCCATGTTGTTGTTACTGATTGTAGAAAATTAAAAAAAATATGTGAGGTTAGGTCAGTCCCTGTGGCCTAATGTGTGTACCAAATTCTGTGAAAATTAGTAAAATTGATTTCAGAAGTTGAAAGGTAGATGGAAGGATAATATTAAGAAGTGTCTTCAGAAAAAAAGATGAGAGTGTTGAATAGATTCAAATGGCTCCAGCAGTAGGTTCTTGTGAAGATACTAATGAACCTTTGGGATCCATAAAAGGCAGATAATTTCTTGCCTAACTGAGCAAATATTAGTTTCTCAAGAAGGGTAACATAATTAGCAAAAGCAAGCACATAAATTAATTAAGCAATTTGAGCTTTGAGAATGTGATAGCATGCATTGCCTTATTGCTGTTTTTAAATTCAACTCATCCATAGTTCCATGCTTTTGAAAGCTGAAGTTTTATTAACTTGCATTTTTTCAGAGGTCAATACGAATCTGCCTTATGAGAAGCTTTGAGCATTAATGAACCTGCTGATTGTGGGAAGCTGAATATTATCAGTGTTGACAGTGATGCTGATGGTTGTAGCATCTGTGGAAGAAAGCGCGAGCCTTGCATGATGCCAGTGTTGTGAAAGCATGTGCACTGAACTTTATTAATTTATCCATTTTACTTAAATGTACAACAGATTTGAAACTATGTTGAATCTGATATGAATTCTTGAAGTGGACATTGTTTTACATCCATAACTGAATGTGCAGTGTCCAAATCAATGAAGTAAATAGTTATAATATTTTTTATACTCATGTATTTATAAAGACAATATGTTTCTTTTTTCATCTAAGCACTATTCACATATCCTTATATTGTGTTGGAATTAAATAATTTTGTGTTTCATTTAAGTAGTAATTCATTAAGTATTATTTTAACCTTTTGTTTAATGTTAATAGTTACATGTGTGAGTGGAATAAAGTGGACAATGTAAATATTTTATAGTTTTCGTTTATTTTGCAACCTGCTTGCATTACTCTACATGTGAAAGAAGATGCATGCCATCACTGAACCTCTGGTAGGTTTGCCTGTGTGCATTTTGCACTGAATATTGTTATTTTATGGTTGTGCCATGAATCAGGCAGTTAGGCTCTGACTTCTCAATGTGGAGCTTCAGTTTGAGTACCACATTATATCATGTGAGATATGTGGTGGAAAAAGAAGTGGCAGGTCAGGTTTTTCTCCTAATTTTGCCTTGCTAATCACCATTTTGTCATTGCTCCATATTCTCACAGGTGATAGCCCCAACCAAGCAACACAATATCATATCCACAGTCTTCCTGTTTTGGCCTACATTTGTGACCCAACAATTGACTGTTTACAGAGTAAGGAGCAGAAAGAAGTTTGGTTAGTTTTAATATGTTTTGCCATTTATAGTGTCCTGTAGTAGCATGTTAAAATTTTCCAGTTGTGAAATATGAAAGATGAAAAGTGAATATGATCTGCTGCTTAATGACATATCAAAATCTGATAAGATGATAGTGTACATGTCAAAGAGGAGAGAAAGGAAAGTTAGTATACACTGTGTATAAAAATAATGGTGGGGTTTCAGGAGGCTCTGTCTCCAGATACACAAAACTGTACATTCCTCTACTGTGGTAGTTTCATGAGTGGCCACCAACAAGATGGCTCAGTGCCACGTCCCTCAAGACAGGTTATGGAAATTCTTAGTGGAACATTTCCTGCAAGATTGCTTGGCAGGGTTGGCTCATTTCTTTGACCACCTAGGAACCCTGAATTTGAAACCAATTTTTTTTTTTTTGAGGGTGGGGGGCTATGTAATGAATTGCAACTATCTTGTGATGTGACATGACAAAATTCAGGACCTGAATCCTTTTAAAGGAAGAATAAGAGAAGCCGCTGAACAGGTAACAGTAGATTTTTTCTAAATATTCTCAAGACCTCACCATTATTTTTCAGGCATCCTGGATACTAATGATGCAGATTGTGCCTCATATTTATTCCAGACTTAATACAGTTCTGACAGTTCAGAATTGATCCAAAGTCTGCTATTACCTGTACGTCTGGTTCCCCACTCATAACTGACTGCATCTGCCTTTCAGTGCTGCCCAGTTGCCATAGACTGAGAAATATGCAGAAGGAAGTGGCAAGTCTCCTTCCTTACAGTTCTATTATATGCATTTGCAACGTCTGCTGGCTGTTCTAATTGCTCCTATAGTGGCATCTAACACTTCTTACATGTATTTGGGAGGTGACCAGTTTGATTCTTGACTGGGACAAGCCTATCCTGACTGAGGTTTTCATTGTTTTCCTCACTTCCTCAAAGCAGATTATGGGATAGTACCTTGATTAAGCCATAACAACTTCTTTCCAAAAATGAATTCGCTGATCATTGTGCCATTTGATGCCATATATATAGGATCTGTGGTTCTCACAGTGGCGAGAGTGAAGTTGCACAACTCCCAGACTCATAAGACAGTAAAATGTGATTGTGAATCCCATGAGAATTGGAACCAAGAATGACTGTGCTGGCAAGGGCAGCAGCAGTTTGACTGACTGACAGAAAGACAGACAGGCAGTGATGGTTATGAAGAGTTGTGTGTTCCAGGATATAACAACATGTAGTCTGTTGAAAGTAAGTTGATATGTCGGAGGAGCATGTGGCCTCCATCTTCAGGGTTGAAGAATAAACCAAGCAAGATAACCAGCATTGCTGCCTGCACCATTTTGATTTCTTGCTCAACTTATTCTTCAACCCTGAAGGTGGAGGCTCCATGTCCCTCTGAAATGTTGATTGGCTTTCAACAGATTGTTATATGTCCCAAAAGATAGAACGCTTGGTGCTATATAATTTTTGCTACTGACAGCATTGTTAGAGAAAGCATAAATAAGTAAAATACAATGGTATCGTACATATAGAATATCAAATATTAAGGTTCATTAGAAGAAATGATTTTTGTAATAACAGCTCAGAGTTGGGAAAATTGGGCATGATCAAGACAAAATTATTGTAAGACTGAAAGAAGAAAGTAAAAAAGTAAAGAACTGAGATGAGAATATCTTAAATTGAGATTCTCACAACATTGACTATGTAGATCATGGTCCTCTGTCATGTGACACCACGTACATGTTGGTACTCGTCTATTTCGGTACGCAACATCACATCCTACAATACTGTATGTTAAAAATTTGGTGACCTCTATATCCCAGATTATTTAATAATTTATTAGACTCTGTAGATCAGAGTATGTGTTATTACATCATTGATTTATCACATCAAAGAACATTCCTCTGTGGATTTTTGGGTCCCCTACAAAGTTTGATTCTTTGTATATCTTCTCCATGCAAAATGTTTACATTATGCTTAAAGATACTACAGACATAGCTATTTTAGCATAGAAGTTTTAGGCATCTGATGAAGAAACAGTTCAATTTGAGAACATATACACAGAAAATTTATAAAGGTAACTGAACATAAAACAACAAAATGTCTTATGAATATAGCTGCACTTGCTAAAATTTCTGTAGTTATTGCCATTTTGTTTGCCTCCATTTTCAGTATCAGCGCATGAGTTATGTTGTGTTGGTTGTAGCAGCAGTGAGCATAAGAGAATGATCCATGTTTGTAACACATGCTTAAATTAAATGTTATGAAATAATTATATTTCTGTGTCATCCCCACTTTAGTTTATTCCAGATAATTCAGAAACCTTCCTCACTCCTGTGTGCAAAGGAGAATCAAACAGTATCCATACAATTGGAATAATGTAACTCAAAGTTAGATGATGGCATACTTTGAGTCTGGTTTAGTTGTAGTCCATTTGGGGAACAGAAATCCACTGATGACTGGCTGTCCAATATGGGCAGGACTATTTTCTGTGGTGACACTTAAATGAGTGGATCAGAATGTTCAAGAACAGCCGAACCAGTGCTGTTGATGCAGACAGGTAGGCATGCCCATTCACATTCACAAACAAACAAAAAAAAAACACTGTGCTCAAGCAATGGTGGGCACCAAATCAGTTCTACACATTTCACTCCTGTAGCATGTTGCTCCTGCATGGTGCAGGTGTCTAGTGCAGCAGCCATCTTTACAACTCACTCACTCAGCAAAAATTGGCTAAAGCTGAACCAGACTTTACCACTTGCCACAGTCCAACCTTGGGCTGCAGCATGGCCAGGTCTCAGAAGTGTTGCCTGTCATACAATGAAAATATTGCAATACTGTAGATATATTTTGAATCCCCATTGTAATGTACACACATTAAATGGTGAAACCAATAGCATTTTTGATGTTAGTAAATTCAGTCTGTGCTTAAAAATGTTAAAGATTTTAGGTCACATGTATGATCTCCTTGTTTCCACAGAAGGTAGAGTTAACAATAATGAAAAAATTCACCCTTGTGAGTGATATTAAAAGATTATAGATTTTAGGCTTTCACAGCACCATCATGTTTTAAGTGGATACTTTTTCATCTGATCTTCTTTCGTAGTCATGAGTTTGAGTTTCATATTGATATGAGAAGGCATCTGGGATGTACAGGCTCTCTTCACGAATGAATTCATGTTTAACATATGTTCACATGAATTTATGTTAGTATTGGTCTTATTTCCATTGCAAACAATAAGATTATTATTAATATTTGTGAGTAGTTGGAGAAGAAGCACAGTTTTACAGTATCTTCAAAGTTCCTGCCTTGTCTCTCATAATCTGTGTGTTGCTTAGCCACCTTTGAAGTCTGAGGTTGAATTGATTTTGCCACCAGACACACATCATCAGTGACTAATCCTCAGAGCCTTGACTTGTGTTTGAAAAGTGTTTCTGCCTTTGTTTCCAGCTCTAAGAATTGTGTCAGGACTTAACCTTGAGATGGTCAGCAGACACCATTATGCTACAGAAAAGAGTGAGCTAAACATATTTCTCCACAATATGCAAAGAACACATGAATATGTGCACTAGCTTTCATAATATGTATATGATTTTCACTGCTTGTATGTGCACATTACTGAGTTTTGGTGCAACTCATGTGCTCTAGTTGTGTTAGTGTGAGAAAGTCTTTTGATTGAAAGTACCAGTGTTGAGAGATTCCTTGTTACTGATACTAAGCGTTTTGTGCATTCACATCATCTGCACTGCCACCTCAGCAAATTCATGGACAGCATCGAGTTTATTGTCACTTATAATATAGATTCCTATTCCTTTCTCTCAAGACCCCTTTCAGAGGAAACAGCAAGTTTCACATGGCTTGACATGTTAGGAGATGAATGTACATCATTGTTAGCTGTATTGGTTAAAGAAGTCTGTAATATAGGGTCTGTTGTTATTTGTTTATGGTTTATTTAATGAGGTTGTCAGTAGCTTACACTGTATACATCAAATCATAGGATGATTAATAAATAAATTGGAGAGGATGTGGAAGGAAGCAATCATGGTTTATGAGATAGTCTGAGGGAAACCACACCAATCTCAGTCAGATAATCTCCAGGTTGAGATATGAAGCCAAAACTTTCTGAATATGAAGCAGGAGCACCACCCTCTTGACTGTGACAGTCTATGTGCATGTAGCTGACCACTCACTTCCATCTAGTGCGGAGGTCAAGAAAGGTGGAGCTATACCTCCACTTCCCCACACACATTCATGGCGTAATTGTTAATTAATTAGGCACAAGGAAAACTTTTCCTTTTATGTCTGCAGTTTTCCTCTGCTTTTCACTTTGAAGCAAGATTTTGAATAATCAGCAAGCTTAACTGCATTTCTGTTTCTTCATTTCAAGGAAGGAAGAAGTCAAGCAGATGTCCATGCATCAGCCAAGTAACAGATTTTCTGTTGTCACACACTGAGACTTCTGTATTGCATCAAGTCCAGTTCAAGCAAAACATAATG